GTGGAGGGTCAAGGAAAGGTTTATATATGGAGGGAAACTTTCTTTGTTGGTTGCCAGGGGTAGGAGGGGAGGGGAGGGAACACTGCAAAAAAAAAAAAAAAATGCATTGACCCATGTCACTTTAGTTTTGTGTATTTCACTGTACATAAATTGTATTTCAATAAAATGCATTTTAAAAAAAACTAGATAAAGACAGAAACATGAGGAGGACAGTGACTTTCAAAAGCATTTGTTACCTTGAGGAGGTCTCTGGTCATATCTGAGGAGTCTGTGATGTGAAGGGTGATCCTAGTGCCAAAGGGCTCTACTGCTCCTCCAGATTTCACCTGCACAGAGGACAGTCAGTAGCAGCAGCAATGGACGGAACAGCCTGATCCTCAGCTAGTGCCAGTGACACCTGCAGGACAGGCTTGGATCTCCAATCAGGTAGACCCTCTAAAGGCTACCAAAGACAGAAGATTATTTCTACGTATGTATTTAAACGTGCTAAAAATATATCCATGAATACAGGAGAGCATACAGGGAGCAAAGTTATGGAAACTTCTTAGACTTAACAACCCATCTTAAAGGAGTTAGTTGCTGGGCTTGGAGGCTCAGGACTATAGTCTCAGGGGTCACTGAGGTCAACTGGCATAACATAGTCCACAAAGACAATGTTCTACATCCTATTTTGGTGAGTAGTGTCTGGGGTCTTAAAAGCTTGCAAGTGGCCCACTAAGGTGCAATTACTGGTCTCTCCCCATCCGGAGCAAGGAGTAGTGAAGATAATTAAAGACTCAAGAAAACAATCAGTACAAATGACTAATGGATCACACAAACCCCAGCCCCTAGAACCATGAGAAAGACAAACTAGACGGTGCCCAGCTACCACTGACCACTCTGAAATGGATCACCATAGGAGGTTCTGGATAGAGTGGGAGAAAAATGTGGAACAAAACTCAAAATTATTAAAAAAAAAAAGAGGGAGAGAGAGAGAGAGAGAGAAGGCCTACTGGTCTGATAGATTGGTGGAAACCCCCAAGACTATGGCCCTTAGACAGCCTTCAAGCCTAGAAGCAAACTCACCTCTGTGGCTCAACTTTCAGCCAAATAAGGCCTATAAGGTAAACAGTAACACTACAGAGGTATGCACTCCCTAAAGCAAACAACCATACCATATGAGATCAAAAGGACAGCATTTGCCCAAAAATAAAGCACAGAAGACAGGAAGGGATAAGAAAGAAGGAAGAATGGAAACAAAACTGTAAATAAAGAGAGGAAGTGGGAAGACTGCTGTTACATTGTGGGCATTGCTAGCAATGTCACAAATCAAAATGTGTATGAATTGTTGGATGGAAAACCAATTTTCTCTGTAAACTTTCACCCAAATCACAATAAAAAGTTTAAAAATAAAAAAACTGCCCTCCTAAACTTCCACCAGTCTTCTCTCTTCCATATAACCAACACAAGTCTTAAACAAGTTATGATACCTAACTTTTCTTTTCTAGGCTGATTTCCAGTTCCTTCACCCTATACTAAAGCCTAAAAGAAAGATCCAACCCCAAAGCAGTACATTTAGAAAGGGCAAAGTTAGAAGGCTACCCTTAAGCTAGTCTTCATCCCAAATCACAGTACCCACCCACCTCATTGGTCCGGTGTCCGCAGTTCTCACAGTTGGTAGCCATGATGATAACTTCCTTAAAGTGGGGGATTTCTGGAAGATGAAGTCAAGGAAATCCAGTTCCAGAAGACCAAGACCACCCTCTGGGGAAGAACAAATCCAAACCCCAGAGTTTCTGGTTCTACAACTGTCAAGAAATATATCATAGAAAGCAGCCTACAACAGACACTCCCCCAGATGAGAGCAATTCCAACCCATGGTGATCCCTTTCCACAAATATTGAAGATGTGGCTCAGGCGACACATAGTAACCTCAAGAACATGGTCTAAATTCTCTCTTTGGATCCAGAAGCCAAAGTGCAGTCTTATCAAAGGCAACATCCTTCTCTTCATGGAAATGGAACATGTACTTTCCTCGAAGGGAGCACTCTGACCCGGAATATCGCAGTCATGCCTGAATCAGGGGAGAAGCAACCCAACTGCCTGACAAAAGATACGTACTAGCTTCATGTTGGTCTGAGCTGGAGCATTGCATTCTGGGCAGTTTGTGTTGAACTGTAATACCTGGAACACAATTTAGGGACACGGGGTGAACCCTCCCAGGTAGGATGCTCGGTCTAAAGACATTTACACTGCTATCCATGTTAGTGGTGAGAGAGCGCGCCACTGAGCAGTATCAGTCTCAGCCTACAACTCTGCGTCTTTCCCCAACAATATCCAGTGTGACTCACTTCATTTCTGAGATCATCCTCTTCTGGCTTCTCTTCTGGTACACCTGCCTAAAGTAGCAGAGATGCAAATCACGAGTTGGCAGGTAAATCACAAGTTGGCAGGTACGTCCTAGCCTCCAGAACACCCTGCCCCAGAGTAAGAGAAAATGATCTGATTTGCTTACATTACATGCCACCTCATGGGTTTGACAGAGAAGCTGTCAAAGCCCCAGTAAAGGGAAGGACAGAGCTCAAGAGTGAGTCACAGCTACTGTGAAGACTGCTGTTACATTGTCTTCACAATGAACTTAGAGTAACCATGAGCTTATTCTAAGTCTCTGATGTGAGCTATGTAAGAGGCATAAACGTGTTGAGATGGAGCACACAGGGTATTGGCAGCAAAATAAGTTTCTGCTGGCTCTAAGCAATCCAGGATATAAGATCATCTTAGGGCATTCTGGTTTCTCCCATCACCTTACCTGGAGTCCCAGCATCTCCTCTTGCTTTGAAGTCCGGTTATAGTGTGTGATCACCAGTGCATCATCTTTCTGGGGAGCAAATGGGTTTTCCACAAAGCTGTTCCCTGATGGATCATCAATGATCTAGCAGATGATGAGGGAAGAGTAAATGCAACATGAGATGATGTAAAATCCTCCATCTACCATCAGGCACCACAATGGGAAAATCCCAATCTTAATGGGCCCTATTCCCCCAAATCGAGGGCTAGTGCAATTCCTCAACACCTACCAGAGTGAAAGGGTAGGCCACCTGCTTTAGCTCCTTCAGTTTGACAATGAACTCATCAATTCTTTCAGCTATGGTTTCTTCATTTGCCTGTCATGAACAAAGCAGAATCACTAGCCCTGGTAGTATACTTTTCATCCCGTCATGCCCATGTCACTTCCAACCCTTAGTGTGGGTGGGAACATAGTGACTCATGACAATGAGATGTTGCAAACAAGTTTGATGTTTATGGGTGGTGCCTGGTGACCCTCACTTCCTCATCCACTCACCCCTTCAGCCCGGGCACTTGTTGCAAGTTAGGAGCAGTAAATAAACCACTATCCTGTCAAGGCCTCCCCAGCTAACTGGGGAGAGAGACGAGTAAACGGGATTATAATACACTGTTTTTGTCCTAATAAATATAAGGTACACTGCAATACTCAGGAAGCATAGATAACCTAATGTTGTTATGTGCCGTTGAGTCAGACCTGACTTATAGTGACCCCTCCTTGGGTTTCCAAGGCAGTATCACTATGGAAGTAGATTGCCCAGCCTTCCTTCTGAGGAGTGGCTGGTGGGTTTGAACCACCAGCCTTCTGGTTAGCAATCAAGTGCCTTAGGCATTATGCTACCAGAACTCCTATAGATAACCTAAAAAGATTTACAAAGGCTTTTCGGTGGTAACATCCCACTGACTGAGATAATACTTGAATATACATTGAGGCGGTAGGGACAGCAGGAACAATGAATACTGGCAGCTACAGCATCACCATGTGCTTCCTTACATTTTTCTCACACATTCAAGTTCAACTACATGGAAAGCTGAACACTCCATTCAGTCACATATAAGAAATAATTCCTTGAGCTGTTGCCATCAGAAAACCCTAACTCACTCTTCGTGTAGGCTGGTCCTGCTCCAGGTCAGAGATAGCACGGCTGATCAATCCTTCAACAGTAGTCAGAGCTTGTGAACAAGAACAAAAGATGGGTGAGTCTTGGCTCTACTGTTATGTCCATGAATAACCCTAGGCAATTCACTTGAACTTGGTGGGCCTTGATTTCCTTATCTGTAAATGAGGAGTCCAGGTACAAGGTTCCTTTCATCTCTAGTAACACTGCTACAACAACTGTATAATGAGCACACCATGATCTTGCTATCTACTATCTCAGGCTGCTTCACCTAAGCTTTCCATTCATGTTAAACCAATTAAGCTCATATGTTACATAGCCAGCCCCATACACAAGCTACTGAACTGATATAAAGGGTTCTGGAAAAGTGTGGGAAAGATTCCAGATAGATGTGAACAGCTCAGATACCCTAATCCCAAACTTACCTCCTTTCTGGCTGAAAGCAGGAATTTCAAAATCCAGCTCAGGGATCCTTGCTGTGGCAGAGTCAGTCTTCACCACTTCTCTGTTCATGTCCTGGGCAAAAAGGAACTTTCAGTCCAGAGGTCAGCAGTCCAGTTTCTCCTCAGAAAATAACCACACTGCCCTCCCCCCCTCCATCAGACCCCAGCCCAGCTGTTTCTCCCTCTTTCCACTCTAGGACTCCAGATTACTCCTGAAGAACAGTCCAGCTAATGCCAGGCTGCCCAGATGCTGAGAATACTATTCAGAGCAACTACTGTCCATTTCCTATCCTCTGACAATGTTCATAAATCTTATCTCACCTAGGAGAATGGCAGCACCAGCACTATTTTACAAAGAGGAAACTGAGGCTTGAAGACATAGGGGGATGTATTCGAGAGCCCGTCATCTGGATCAGAGCTCTGACTCCAATCTCCAAGAGCTCTGGGATAATGGGGTACCTGCTCTAGGCTCCTCTCACCTCTTGGGCCTGGACGGTCAAAGTGTAGCGCACTCCCTGGTCCTGGATCCTGCCTGCCGACTGGATTTCCGTGTTGTTCCAGTCGCAGTGCTCGCAGGAAAAAGAGCTCACTATGATTTCTCTGAAGAAGGGGATTTTGGTAAGCAGGATGCGCGTCATGCCCTGGAAAAGTGAAAATAACGAAGCCAAGAATCGATGACACCCCCGTTAGCAGCCAAACCCCAGTACGCACCTCTCACTTTCCAACTGGACCCACTGGACCGGGTCGCTAGCCCAGGCCTATCCCGGTTCAAGCCTAACCCTCCCGACGCCCGCGGCTCGGCCCCCAACTCACGTTGCGATAACAGTTCATGCACAGCGACTCGATCTCGGTGGGCTGCTGCTCCTCGTCCTCGGCGCTGATGGGCCGGAACAAATTCCCCCGGGCAGGACCCCCGTCCGTGGCCGAGGAGGGGGCGCTGGTGCCCCCCATGGGCCCGGGCCCTACTGTCCCGATGGCCGACATGACTGCCACGCGCAGCCTAGACCTCGGCTTCCGGCTTCCGGCCCCACCCCCTTTCTCTGGCACTTCCTTCGGCTATGATCCCCGCCCTTTCTTAAAGTGGCTGCGAACTTTGGGCCCTCAGGGGAACTATCTGTGAAGGTTTTCTGGTTCTTGGGACTTCATCCATAGCCACCCCGATTCCGTATTTGTCTCCACCTCAATCCAGGGGTGATTTCCCCTAGAATGTCCTCTCGAGGGATTTTTTGCGCCCTCACGTAACTCCCACCCTCAAACCAAACCAAACTCACAGCCATGGAGTCAACTGGACTCACAGCGACCCCTCCTTGGGTTTCTAAGGCAGTATCTCTACAGAAGTAGATCGCCCAATCTTCCTTTCGAGGAGTGGCTGATAGATTTGGACCGCCAGCCTTCTGGTTAGCAATCAGATGCCTTAGGCACTAAGCTACCAGAGCTCCTCTCCCACCCAGTGGGGTTCTATAAATCTGTCTGCAAGAGCCTTGAGGGCAAAGGGCCTGCCTGGTCCCTCAGTATTCCTGAGGAGGTGCTGGTAGTTGCACTGTTGAGCCAGATGCTGCTTTGATATCTAGGTCCCCCTCTCCAGCTTTTCTTCCCTTCAGTCTCCCTCTCCCTTTCTATAAAGCTTCTCACTCCCTATTTCTGTCCCCTTCATAAGCACCTCCCCAAATTCCAGCCTCAAACCTGCAGCCCCTTTTTTCACTCTCATCCCCTTATCCCACCACTTCCAACCCCAACTGACTCACTCCTCCCCATTTCCTAACTAATTAAGCAAAAATTCTTTTTTTTTTTTTTTGTAAACATTTCGTTCCATCATTTCCCCTCCCTGGGCTGGGATCACAACCCAGAGTTGTAGCTGAAAGTAGCTAAATCCAGGGAATAAGCAAAGAGGTTCAACCTGTGGGAATGATGGCCCAGATTCATACCTGGTCTGCTATGAGGGGGTAGGGAGGTGCTTAGACCTCTGCCGAAGGGTTCTCAACAGGGCATTCTAAAAGGAAAGGGGCTGGGGCTATGTGGCATCCCTTTTCTCTGTGCCCCCCTCTAGGGGCCCCAGGATGATCCATGAGGAGCTTTGGTGCCCCTGAGCAGATATATATACAGGTGGGCGAGTTTGAGTGTTAGGGGGTTCCCAAGAAGGGGTCAGTCATTAAGAGACCATCAAAGTCTGGAATAGCAGGAACAAAGGAGACAAGCCACCTCAGGAGTCTCAGTCCTGAAGGACTATAGCTCCTTGAGTGACAGCCTGCACCTCACGTGCACCATTCTGTAGTAAGCAGGCTGAGACCAATGCAGGTACAGAGGAAGTTTCTCTAGCCCAGGCCTATTCTCCACCCACGGTAGACTGCTGCATCTAGCCAGAGAGCCCCAAAGCAGAGACCAGCCAGATCCAAGCCCTTCTGACAGGCCTGGGCTGCTAAGGGACAGTGAGAAAGAGCAACAAGGAGTCGGAGTAGGTGCTAGGTGTGCACTGGGGATAGTGAGTTTGTGAGGCCAACATTTTCGGTCATGACACAAATGAGAGACATACCAGGCATGCTTCCATCATAAGCATCTATTTCATTGGAGTCAAAAGACTAGTTTCAGCCTGGGAGTCAGGAGGGTGGAGCTTAGGGTGGCGAGGGCACACAGTCTGCTCCTCAGAAGGTTTAAGAAGCCCCCACAGTTTGGAGGATACAGTCAGGATGTGTTTTACAGGTGCAGAGCTATGTAAGGAAATATAAACTCTGCCCCTCCTATCACAACCCCCACCATTCCTAACCACCAGGATCAAAGCCAGCAGGAACACACACACACACACACACACACACAGACAGACACTCTCCCATTCATATTTGCCTCCTTTCTCCCTTCCAGTTCCCCAACAGAAGCTGTCATGGCAGCCATGGGGAGAAAGCTCCTCTCTGTGGACCATCTGGAGCAGGGACCACAAGCTGACTAGAAGTGAACGGAGCGAAAAACAGGGATGAATTGGCATTACCACAGAGGCAGTGGGCTTGCAGGTAATGACACACATACAACGCCTCTCTCCCTTCCCACTCCCATCACCCCTGACTGGAGCAACTCATGAGGATTCCCAAATGACCACGGGAAGCCAGTTTGTAAAGCCTGGTGAGTGTAATGCATCCAGATGAGGGAGTCGCAGGAGACTACTATGTCTTAGCAGCAGCCTCTTCCCTTGCCTCACTGCACAGGGCCCTCCACATTCCATCCAACAGGCCACTGTCAGGACTCAGCATGCTAGGGGCTCAGGTCCAGGGCTCCCAGACTGAGAGCGGGGGGGAGTGGCCCTGGACAACTAGACCTTCAGGACTCCCCAAGATGGCTAGGGCCCTGGTCCTGAAGACTGTGATTGATGTCTTCCCACAGATCGTCCAGACGAGCTTGGAGCTTGCTCAGGGCCTTGCGGCTGTCGGTTTGGAGGAATTCAGGAGCGAAGGCACTGTGGCCTGGAGGGGGTGGCGCCAGCTGCTGCTGGATCTCCTCCGTCTCCCGGTCAATGGCTTGGGTGAAGGCGGCTATCTGCAGGAAGGTGTCGCGACGGAAAGCCTGGAGCCGCTGACGTACCTCTTCAGAGAGCACCTGGGGGTCGGGGCCTGCACCCTGCTCAGCCGCACCAGTGCCAACGCCGGCAAAGGCGCTGAGCTCATCGCGCAGCTGGTCCAGGTTCTGCTGAATGCTCGCGTGCAGCGCTTTGGCCTTGAGCGTGAGCTTGCGCGAGAGAATTTGCACGCAGCGGCTGAGGCGCGCGGGGCTGGCGGGGGCGTGGGGCGCCACGCTGCGGTGCAGCTCCTGCACGTGGCGCCCGATGCCAGTCACCAGGCGCTCTGCGTACGGGTGGAAGAGAGCCTTAACACGGTCGGTATGGTGCGCCACGCGGCTCGGCAGTTCCAGTAGCATGCTTCGTGCCTCCTCCACGCCCCCCAGCAGCTGGGCCTTGGTGTCCTCCCCCACCACGCGCAACTGCTCCTGCAGTTCCTGGACTCGCAGGGCCACCTGCTCCATCAGCTCCACTGTGTAGGGCTTCAGCTGACGCCGTAGCCCCTCCAGATTCCAGCCCACGCGCTCGTGTGTCTCGGCCATGTATGGCGCCAGGCGTGCCCTCACCTCCTCCAGCTCCTCCTGCAACTGCTGTCGCATGCCCACTGGATCCAGTGGCAGCGAAGGAGACTCTAATCCCTGACCATTCAGAGGGCCTAGCTTTTCCAGAAACTTGTCCATATTGTTGAGGCTGCGTTTCAGACTCCTAGGGGAGGAGACAGACATCCAGGCCATCAGACAGCTAGACTGCAAGACCAGTAACATCCCCTTTGCCCCAGAGACATCTGCACTTATCCTCTGGGGGACCAAGGACATAGGGCTGCAGTCTGAGCTGGGAGTTCTAGTCCTAATCCTGGGCCAGCCGCATTGCCTCAGGCACACAGGAACAGAGCAAATGGGAAATGCAAATCCAGACCTACAACACTGCCTAGAGAAGCACAGATGGACCTCACATCTCACAGGATTCCTATCCTGGGTGCTGCGGTGGGGGTCTTCTTCCTGATCCCAGGACCCATGCCTCATTGGGCAAGGGGGTGGCAGCCCTGTCAAGGTTAAGGCTGGGACTACCGGCAAAGAACACTGAAGAGTCCAGAACCCCTGAGACAGGCAGCAAGGCTAGCACTATTCCAGACCTTGTCCAGTAAGGACGGCAAAGGTTGAGAAATCAGAGGCAGTGCATTATCCCTTGGTTTCCTTTGCCCGCACCCATTGCCTAAGCCACTCACATGGGCTCCTGTGCCAGCTTGTGCTGCTGGATCTCCTCCACCCTGCCTTTGTCCCCACTGCTCTGACTGAAGTAGTCCCAGAAACCTTTCTGTGCCTGAGCAGCTGAAGACACTGTGGAAAGAGGTGAACAGGTTAACAGGTGCTGGGCTCTCTTCCCCAGATGTATAGCCATTCTGTTCAGCCTACATCACCCCCACACCCAGGTTGAAGCTAAGGTTAGAGACCTACCTGAGAGGAGGGCCAGAGCCCAGATCCGAACTGCAACCCTGCTTGCCATTATCCACTCTGAAAAGGAAGGCAAATGGAGATTTGTTGAGGTGAAGGTATAAAGTGAGGGATATCTGTCAAAGTGACTTGCCTCAGAACCCTTCCCCAAACCCTGCTCACCCTTCCTTGGGATGTAGGGAACACAGAGCTGTTGGCATTCCAGAGGACTGGGCTAGGTGAGTGTGGCTGAGGGAAGGGGTATCTTCCTCAGACATGGTGGGGTGGGGGGGAAAACATTGCTCCTTTCTTTCCTCAGTCAGATAGTGTATGTGAGTGTGGAGCTCAAACCACTTTGTAAAAGTTCTCCCACCACCACCCGCCCCAAGGCCCAGGAGAGGTAGCGCCGTAGGCTACTTCTGTCACAGTTCCTCATCACCTATCCTCCCATTTCATGATTAGGAAAACTGAAGCATACCAAGAGAGAAGAATTAATGCTGCCAAAATGCTCCAGGATGTCTTCACTTCTTTATTCCACCACCAGCTCTCTGCTGAGGACTCCAACCCCCTCTTCTCTGCCTGGCTGCTCACCTGCTCAGTTCTGGGCACAGAGAGCAAACATTCTGCTTTATACTCTAGGAGCCTGGGCCTCTGGCAACAATTGCTCTGAGTAAATACCACGTGGAGGTTCAAAGAAGGATGACCTCAGCTGCCATCCAGCATTCACCTCCTGCTCTTTGCCTGGCACCCAGAGGGTTAATGAGTGTCCTGGTTTCAGAGTGCTACCCTGGTAGAGAAGTGCTTCCTGGAAAATTTCACTGGGAGTGAATTCCTCCCAAACCTGCCCACTGGCCTGCTGGCTGGTCCACTGATAGAGACAAGTTTGTTTGTCTGCTGAGGGCCTTGTTCTTTCTCAACTACCTGAGTTACTGTGCCCTGGACAGATAGGGACAGCGTCCAGCTCCTGGCCAAAACTTGAACAGCCCTTGATTGCTCCAGCACAGGCTACTCAGGCAGGCTGGGATGAGCCAGCATTTATAGAATTAAAGATTCTCCCATCACCTGCTTTATGAAATGATCCTGGATCAGCAGGGGAAGCCAGGAGAGGTGAAGATGAGATGGTGAGAGGCAACTGGGCCTGGGGCTCTGGGCTCAAGGAATTGGAACAAGAGTAGTATTCTCCCCATGGGGTAAAGATGAACTCAACCCACAGGGCTTTTGAGGAGGGGAAGCCAAAAAGCCCAACTCTTTATCTGATGACATGCCCACTCCATATGCTTATACACATGCATTCATAACTCCTGTTTCTTGCTCCTAAATGTTTATTGAGTCAGTTGTCTCTCCTTCATTTTCATCACCCTCACAGACCCCATTGCATCCATGGCCTCCCACTGTTCCCTCTGCTTAAAATATCCTGTCCCCTAATGAACGTTATATTCATTTGATTTAGGCTTAGTTTGTACTAGTTATGATTAGGTTCAGCTGCAAGTGACAAAAAAAAAAAAAAAAAAAAAGGAAAAAGAAAAAAAGAAGACAGTAGTTTAAAGAAAATAGAATTTTATTTTTCTCTCCTATAAAAATAGCCCCTTGGACTCCATCTGCCTTGCTGCACTATCATCTCAACAAAAGGGTAACGTCCAAGTTGGCTGCTCCAGCTCCAGCTCCAGCTCCAGCTATCAAGTCTACCTCCCAGGCAGCAGAAGGGAGGGAAAAGAGGAAAAGAGCATGCTTTCTCTCTTTGAAGACACATTTCAGAAATTGTTCTTTCCACCTCTACTGACATTCCATTGGCCAGAAGTTCATCACATGGCTACACTTAACTGAAAAGGAGGCTGAGAAATGTAACCTTTATTCTGGGTGGCCATATGCCAAGCTGAAAAGTTATCTATTCAGGAAGAAGAAAAAAATGGATTTTAGGGGGACAGTAGCAGTCCCTGCCGCACAGCTCAAATATCATTCCAAATGCCTTCTTCCTCTATCACTCTGTGATAGTTAAGGTTGTGTGTCAGCTTGGCTGGGCCATGATTCTCAGTGGTTTAGCTATTAGGATATAGACATCCCTGATGAGAGCCAGTATAATGTAATCACCTCCATGAGATTGCTGTGAGCAGCCAATCAGTTGAAAGGGAGTTTCCTCAGGGGAGTGGCCTACATCAAATATATATGGATGTCCTGACAAGGATCTCTGGCTTTTTGCTTGATCTGGATCCTGCATCTGGCTCTGGTTCTTGGACTTGATCCAATTGCCTGCTGTATTGCCTGATGATTTGGGGATTGTTGTCTTCACAGCCTGTGAGCCAATAGCCTGCCACCTTACCTGCTAATCTTGGATTTGTCAGCCTCTGAAGCCAGCAGCCTGCTGTATTGCCTGCTGACCTTGGGTTTGTCAGCCCCTGCAGCTATATGAATCAGGAAAAGCCTGAAGCTTGCCATATGACCTATGGACTTGGGATTTGCCAGCCTCTACAACTGTGTGAGTCATTTCCTTGAGATAAATCTCTCTCTCTCTCTCTCTCTCTCTCACTTGCTCTTGCTCACTTGCTCTCTCTCTATATATATATATATACATATATGTATATAATATATATTATATATTATATATTATATATTGTTGTTGCTATGTGCCATCAAGTCAGACCCAACTCATAGAGACCCCTCCTTGGGTTTCCAAGGCAATATCACTACAGAAGTAGATTGCCCCATCTTCCTTCTGAGGAGTGGCTGGTGGGTTTGAACCGCCAGCCTCCTGGTTAGCAGTCAAGTGCCTTAGGCACTATGCTACCAGAGGTCCTATATATTATATATGTATATATATATATAATATGTATATGTATATGTAAGGAGCTCTGGTGGCATAGTGCCTAAGGCATTTGACTGCTAACCAGAAGGCTGGTGGTTCAAACCCACCAGCCACTCCATGGAAGGAAGACTGAGCAATCTACTTCCATAAAGATTCACCACCTTGGAAACCCAAAGGGGGTTGCTATGAGTCAGAATCGACTTGATGGCAGTGAGTTTGGTTTGGTTTTGGTATATGTATATATGTGTGTGTATAAATGTCACTGGTTTTTCTTCTCTTGAGAACCCATCCTAAAACATTTGGTACCAAGAGTAGTTCTAAATAAACAAAATAGTGAAATAACTTTTCTAAATTGGTTCTCAAATCTCATTAGTCATAAAGGCACTGATGACTCTGTCTCCATTAGTAAAGAGGGTGCTGCTAATCCATGGTATGAGGTGGCAGTATTAGTACACAAAATAGCACTGCCAATAGGTCAAGTATTGGTGAAAAATGAGGCTCTGGGTGATTGCATGTTTGATACTCATCTGTAGTTTGTCAGAATGAGAAATATAAGGAAGCTGGTTGGTTGGTTCTACTTACACTAGAAAACGTAGTGAAAGAATGAGATGAGTTCAGGGTTTCAAGGTCACAGCTCAACACCACATAAAAGATTTCAATGTTTCCACTTATGCCCTGAAAGAAAGCTTTATTGCCTATAGTAACAGAGCTGATATTGCCAAAAATCAAACCCAGAACCTTATCATAAGAGTGACAGAATTACAACTTCAATTGAATTGCCAACCTCAAATGGTGTCTGAAGTTAAAGTGAGGGCACTGATTGAGAAAAAAATGGGGTTATGAAACTTGGGATGGGGATATATGGATAGATAATCAGGAAGCTGAGGACATTGAGCCCCTAAATTCCATTGAATCACTCCCACTAGCAGAACCAGCCCTTTTACCCTCATCTGATGAAACTAACCCAACTGTGCCTGCTGAGTCATTATCTGAGATATCACCTGGGGTAGAGCCTGGGCCATTGTCTGGAGTATTGCCTGAAGCAAATGTCTCACGAGAGATTGCTGAATGTTCCCAGGAACAATCCCTACCACCCATGTTGCTTCTAAACTTGTAACAAGACTTAAGTCCTAGCTAGCCCCAAAAGGTGAAGTACAAAGGGTGATCCAGCAAGAGGTATGCTAATTTCAAAAGAACTGCTTGATTTTTCTAATATATACTAACATAAGCCTGGAGAATATGTGTGGGAATGGCTATTAAAGTGTGGAATAGTGCAAGGAACACAAAATTTGATCAGTTTGCTTTTATTGATTTGGGTCCACTAAGCACAGATTCTTTATTCATTGTTTCAGCTCAAGAGGTTAGGAAAGGATCTAATAGTTTGTTTGGTTGGTTTACTGAAGTATGGATTATGCAGTAGCCTACACTAAGTCAGGTTGAAGTACCAGCCCTAACTTGGTATACTGTAGAACAAAGTATCCAAAGGCTTAGGGAAATTGCCATGTTAGAGTATATTTATTAGATGACACCCATAGATCCACATATGGAGAGGACACACCTTTAACCACAATAGTGAGAAACCAATTTGTGAAGGGAGCCCCAGCATCCTTGAAGACTCCTGTGATTGATATTTTATCTACATCAGATTTCATAGTGGGAACTGCCCTAATTGAATTAAGACACCTAACTACGATGGGGCTGATTGGACCCCATGGCAGTAGAGACCAAGTGGCGGCATTTAATTGACAAAGACAGGGTGGATGTGGTTACTGTAAAGGACGACAGAATCAAAACAGTAATCAGAATATTCTGATTCATATGGATTTGTGGCAGTGGTTACTTAGGCATAGTGTCTCTTAGAGTGAAACATGTGGAAAATCTACTAAAAATTTACTTAATCTGTACAAGTGGAAGAATTCTAGGTCAAATGAATAGCAGTCTAACTTGAATTGCCAGAATGCAGAGTCATGGCCCCTCAAACAATTTCCAGACTTGAGCCATTTTGCAGACCCACAACCCCTTGAATTAATGGGAGGCCAAGTCCCTTTAAGGAAGAACTCCACTACACTGCCCAAAATATATACTGTTTACTTTCTTCCAGCTTTCCCCAAAGGGATCTATAGCCTTTCATGAGAGTGAGTCTTCAATGGGAAAAAGGAAATAATCAGATTTTTCAGGGATTATTGGATACTGGCTTTGAGTTTATACTAATTCTGTTGTTGTTGTTGTTATGTGCCATTGAGTCAGCCCCAAATCATAGTGACCCCTCCTTG